GCGGACCCACCGCATCCCTCTTCCCGCCGTGATGATGATGGGGGAGAGGAGGGAAGGAGCAGGTGGGACGTGGTGCTCCCCATTTGCCGTGCTGGGATGGACCCAGAGAAAGGGGGGACCCCACACCCCATCCTGCTGCAAAGCTGGAGGAAGCGGGGGGCTCTGCCCGTTCCCACCTTTCTCCGGCGTGTCCCAGTCAAAGATGATCCAGGCCAGGTAGAGCGCGGAGATGGGCCAGAAGCTGGTGAACACCAGGTAGATGAGGAGCAGCAGGCTGATGGTTCCTGCAGGAGCCGGGGAGGGGGGTGAGCCGGCACGCGCCCACCCCGCCGGGACCCCCCGCAGCCCCCTACTCACCCAGCAGCAGGAAGCTGAGCACCCACTGCAGAACGGAGAGGAGCTGGAGCCAGGAGCGGATGTCCCGCTGCGAGGGCCAGGGTGCTGCGAGCAGGGTGCGCAGGGTGGTCTGGATGCTGGCGCGGCTGCCTGCGGGGAAGGACAGGGCCCCCAGCCCAAAACAGCACGGGTTGTGCAAACGCTGTCCCAGCTAGCCAGGGGGACCCGGTCCGGTGGTACCCGTGTCTGCCGGGGTTGGGGTATGGGGGCAAGGCGGGAGGTAGGATGGGAAGGGTGAAGCAGTTGGGCAAGGAGGGATGGGGTGGAGGATGCTCATCCCCAGAGAGCTCCGGACCGTGCCAAGAGATAGCCCTGGGCAACCCGAGGCTGCTCTGGGGCCAGCCCTGCTCCAAGCAGGGGGCAGCTGGCAGGCTGGGCACCCCTAAGCCCAAACCTATCTGTGAGCCTGGGTGCACCAGTGGAGCCAAGCACAGCGGCACATCCCGCACCGTGCCGAGCTCCCCGAAGACCAGAACCTTTCCTGTGCCCTCCTTGGCACGTTCAGGCTCACAAATAATTCTGGGCTTTCTCAGCCAGGCCGGCACAGCAGGGAGGTGCGGGGCCGCATCTGCCCCCCGGCAAGTGCCAAGGACAGCGGCCAGGGGCCGAGCCAGGGTGGCCGAGGCTGGCTGTCCCCACGGCTGTCCCCACCGAGCCTTGCCTCCCGCGAGGGACAGTCCAGCAGCCCATGGCCGCTCCACTCCCCGCGCCGCCCCCTTCCCTCCAGCCGACCTTGGTGAACCATTAACCTCCCCGGGCCGGGTGCCAGGATCCAAACTCCACATGCAGCCCCATCCCTCCTCCTGGAAACCAGCCCGAGGTGCCGGTCCCGCCAGACCACTGCTCCCGGCCAAAGGTCCACTGCAGCCGAGACAACCTGGCACGGCCGCTGCAGCGAGCTATGCCGGCTCTTGTATCACAAGAGCCTTGTTTTCTCGGGAAAACCAACCCAAAATCAGCATGCTGGCCAGATAGAGAGATGCTCAGGGTGAGACAGGAGCAGACCTGTCCCCGTGGCCCCCCAGGCCAGGGACCCTCAGGTCCCCAGCGGGACCCTCGGGTGGGAGGCGAACCACCAAACCCCGGTTCGGGTGGCTGCGGGAGGTTCAACTCTGTCTGGCTCAATCCACGAACGGGACAATTGAAATAAATTAAACACTGGAACCATCACCAGCATCAAAGAATTGTTTTCCCTTTCTCTCTGCCCGAAGCAGCGTGCGGTGCTTTAAGCAATCCCTCCCGCCTGTCCCCGCACGCCCAGCGAGGCAGCCCCAGAAGCCCTGCCGCCCGCACAGCCCTGCCGTCGTCAACTTTCCAAAGCCCCATTTTTTTTCCAGGGAAGATGCAGAGCTCTGCCTAGCAAATTTGTGCCTACCAAACAGTTGCTTTTTTTAGTTCTTTTTTTCTAGCCCCCCCCTAAGTACTCCATGAATGTCCAGACTGCAGACAGAAAATGGAGAAACCCCAGGGGCTCTGCTGCCGGCCCCGTCCACGGCGACAGAACTCTCTCCAAACCCAGAAATTCAGACTCCGTGGCCCCGGGCAGCAAGGAAAGATGACGGGGGATTTCCAGCACTCTGGAGCATCTTGCAGGAGTAACGTTACCGAACGCATTGTCAGCCTTCGCTTCAGAAATTTCATTCCTGTTGAGCAACTGTATGTTTTCCTCTGGTGCTGCTAACCCCAAATTGCTCCGAACACCTCCCTTTCCCCTAAGCAGTCTAAAGCAAATAGACAATAGTGACAACAAACGCTAATTGCCTGACCAGCTCCTCGCATCGCCAGAGCATCAGAAACCATTCAAACACGCTTTGGAAATATCTTACCACTAAGATTTTGGGAACAGGCTGCAATAATTGTTTTCATGGTGACAAGGAGTTAGTTTGGAAATACCAGAGGGCGATGGATTGTGTATCCAGCTGCTTTAACCAGCTGATCCAAGGTAAACCGTCCGCCGCGGAGGGGAGCGGACCCGCGCCGGCCCCAGCTTGCAGAGCAAGGAGGAGAGCTGATGGCCCTTGGGAGGATGAGGAGTCACTGCGAGCGGTGCGGAGCTGTCGTCGAGAAGGGCAGCCGCCGCTTCTCGGAGAGGCACCACTGCTGGCACCGGCGGGGGGGGGGGGGGGGCGCGGGAATGGTACCGTCCGTGCTTTGGGTATTTCACAAACCGCTATCATGCTCTACCGGTGTGACTCCCCTCCAGAGCCTCCCAAAAACATCATCCCAAAGCTCCCGCTCCGCAGTCCGGGAACGCAGCCCGCCAGACGGGCCCTGACCATCAGCCCCAGCGTCCAGCACCATCCCCTCCTCTTCCACCCCTAAGAGGGGCACCGGGGTCAGCTAGCCCTGCCTGCTAGCCCAGGAAGACTGGAGTACTGCCTGGAGAGGACTGGGGGGAAAAAAAATGAGAAGAAAAGGAAACAAAAGCAGCACTGAGATGGGGCTTCAGGCCAACAGTCAAAGGAACAGTAAAAATCCACAGGAACTAATTCAACTAGAGCTACTTCTCAGGATCTACCTCTCCAGAAGTACTCGCTAGGAAGAGCTGGCTAACATCAAATGTGGGAAAGGGATAAACACACGTATAGGATTGCAGGTGTTGTTAAAAAAGACATGTTTCACAGGAGAGGTTTGGAGCCCAGGAACCCACAAAAACTCATCATCTGGTGTTGTAGAGACTCAGTATCTGGAAAAAGGGTGCAACAGCATTCACAGATGTAGATTAGTTAAGAGGAGCTGAGATCACTACACATAAAACATCTAAGCTCTCCTGCAGCCCAGCTGGCCCCTCAGGTGTGCCTGAATCATGCTAATAGGAAGGAAAAAACCCAAATTCTTTCAGAATCCCCCTGTCCCCAGAAGCCAGGGAGCGCTCTGCTGACGAAGCCGACTGCGCCAAATCAAAGACAGTAAACGCCCTGTGGCCTGCCCCAGGTAACACACTGCCACACACGCAAGCAGCAGTGATGCTTTTTTGGGGTTTCTTTTGCCCCAACATTTGTAACAGGTTTAGAACAACTGCAGTCCCGGCTGCCAGCCCACGCTGGGCGACTCCAGAGCTTCCAGCCGCGATTCCTCGCTTTCTTGCCCAGTAAGACGCCTGCCGCGCGCCGGGTCAGTGCCAGGTACGGCAGACCAGTCATGGTCTCTCTTCTCACTCGGTTCAGGGTTAGTGCCAGCAGCTATTTAAACTAGCTTCAGAGGAACCCAGAAAGGGTTTTCACCCCTTCAGGGTTATTCTGCAAGTAGATTTCAAAGCACACCGACAACCAGCGCGCTGCTTCGCCTTTGAATACGGCACCGTTTGTCCCAGTGTTGGCCCCTGTAGGGCTCCAGGAGAGGGTGCGGAGCAGACACATGTTGTGCGTTACATTACGTATGCTATAGCCACGCAGACCCCACGTTACGCTGAGCACAAGGACAAACATTTCTATCAAGGCATTTGTACTATGTGTAGTACCAGCACTTCAAGACGTTGCCCTCGAAATACCTGCCCTACTTCACACAAGAAATCCCAAACGCTTCCGTCCGCCCGCTCAGGGAGGCACAGCAGGGTGAGCCTGTGGGAAGGAAGAACACCTGGCTGCATACAGACCTCCCCGCCGAGGTGAACGCTGCGCCGCACGCTGGCGTGTTCGGAAGCCTCGGCCGAAAAAAACGGCCACCCGACATTGCCTATTTCCCATCCCCAACTCCCTGGGCTGCTGGAAACCAGCCTCACAGACTTGCTCTGGAAGAGCCTAGGATGAAGAGCAAGGGAATTTCACAGCAAGAACTAGGCAGCACAAGAGATTTTATTTTGCTTAAAATATAGAGAAAAAAAATAAATACATCCACCCACAATACAAAGAGCAGTTTCCAAATTCATGTACTTTTCTTTCAAGGACTTCCTCTGGCTGGGAGAGCAGAGGCAGTCTGACCCCTCAGAAAGAGCTCCACCTGACAGGAGCTCTGTGGTATCACTGTACACGACCGGTGCGCTCAGTCTGACACTTAATGTAAACCAAAGCAAACTGTCATGTTTACTCCTCCGACTCCGGTGCCTCCCAGAGAAGCCACGGATACCTCTGCATATGTACAGTGTATTTACTCCTGCATCTCCGGGACACAGGCAATTCTTACAGGATTTCCGGGCCCTGCTCCCTCTGCAGCGAGAGCATCAGCCCACGTTCTGCCGGTTGCCATAGCCTCTCGGGTGTGTATCTTTCCAGTCATCCCAGTTCCGAGCTTTTTGAAGAGCTTCCTCATCATCCTCCTCCTCTTTTTTCTCCTGCTGCTGCTTCTGCAACTCTTCATCAGTTATACCTGCTGAGGGTCAAGAACAGGAGCGAGGGGCAGTAAGACAGTGGAAGATCACCAGTCAAGTTCTCAAAACAGAAGCCCTGCCAGGAGCCGGTCTAGACAGAAAGCTGGAATTGCCGAAGAGCAGCCTCGCAATCCAGTTATTCTCACAGCATAATAAAGCCCGTTCCTACTCTTCCTCAGCCAGTGGGTGTCTTACACCCTGAGTGCATCCCTGTTCACCCTCCCCCTCAAGAGGCTTCCCGAACTCTCTGTTCCAATCTTTGCTTTGCCTCTCCGTACCTGGTGCTCCCTGAGGCGCGCTCTGACCGGACACGACGCCTTGCCTTCTGCGCTGCTCATACCAGTCATCCACGGTCATAGTAGGCAGGCCGGGATATCCAGCACCAAACACTCTACAGGGAGAGAGAGAGAGACAGGCAAAGGCGGCGCTTTACATCGCTACGAATGAGCAGAAACATAGACAGCCACGCACAGAACTACTCTGTAATCCAATCCGTACTAACAACGTAAGGCATGTTATCAAGGAGGGCTTAAGAACAAACGTATTTCTACAGCCTGGGCCTTCAGCAACAGACTTGCCAGTAACCTAGCCATAACGGCATTTAAAGAGTTCAACCTGCTAGTTTAGAGAGGTGAGGACGATTCAAGGTCTTTGGACTAGAACAACTTCTCCAGCCCAAAGGAGAACACTCTGTGCTAGCACAGCTTGCCAAGGAGGCTCCTGGGAACTGAATTAGGAACGGCTCGGCGAAATAGACATATGGAAGGCTCAGGGCAAATAATGTCAAAAGCTCGACAAGAAATCTGGTTTCTATCCCATTTTGTGCTTTAGCTGCCATATTGCTTGCATGAATCTCATGGCGCCACAAAGTGTTAAGATCTTGACACCCCAGGGAAAGCCTTACAGCTAAAAACTGTATTATTGTGACTGATGGTTCTCTGGTAGGTATCACATCTTCCCAGCCCCTCAGATCACTTATTTGAATTCACTGAAATCTTCCAGAGTTCACATTAGATTAAGAAACCACATGTGCTTTTCACTGCTGGACTCTTTATTTCAGCAGTGAAGAACAATCCTGTTATATCACACAGAGGTTAGAGGGGCGGACAAGCCTTGCCTCTCCACAGCTTACCAAACAGCAAGCACATGGCCTATAAACTAACACAGTAATATTTGCTTAATACAAACTCCTCTTCTGCCATCCCAACAGGAGGAAACAGCATTTGCCAAGACATTGCAGCACGTTGGTAACAGAAGAAACCAGAGAAAGTTCAAGAAATGCATTAGGTGTTCCCCCCCATCCCCTGCCCAGATGCACAACACATGCCATCTTGATGCGACACGCTGCCTGAAGGTGAGGACTGGTTTTCTGCATTTGAAAGAGTATCCTAGGCTTGACGTGAGAACAGAGCACTGCACTGCGTCTAAATAATCAGAAAACAACATACTTAGCCTGAGCAGCATCCCGGGTAAGAATGAAAGGTTTCAGTGGAGCCCGGACTTGCCGAGAAGTACCGTGTGGTGGTGCTGAAGACTGAAGATGCAAACAATAGTCACAAGATAATCGTGCAGATGAGAATCCCCTTCCTCTGCTTCCCACCCCAAACAAGTTATTCAAGGTCTTGTAGAAGAGAAATGCCTCTTCTGTCAGAGCAACATCCCAATATGGTCAATTCAGGCCTTAATCCAGTTTAAGTCATGAACTCCCATCTGTGAGCTTCTACAAATCACTTCTCTTTGTGCCTTTCTTACACCCGTTCTGATCAAAGCAGAAAGCTGACAGAGCTAAACCGGATCAGCTCAGATCAAAGCATGAAATATAGCTTATTTTTCCCAGGGATCAAACGCAGTACGTTCTGAAGCAAGTAGAGCTCATCGTTCCCGGTGGTATCACCCAGGGCACTACAGAAGAGCAGAGTTCTGCAACACCAATAATGAACTGCACAAACCAGCTGTGCCAACAAAGCTGGACTATGGTCTATGCCAGCGCATTATGATTTTTTTATTTCTAGACAGACACTTTAGGTGAGTAACATAAAGCCCAGAAACACTATTCTACACAGGAATTACAGGTCTACGAGAAGCTTTCAGCATTCAGAATGGGCATTTCCTTCTGTAACGTCTGGACACTTTGTAGACCAGAAGCGTAGGCTTGAAAGAGATCACAAGGGTCGTCCTTTAATTTACAAATGTACTTACTTCTTTAGAGTTAAGGGTCTGGCAGAACCCAGCAAAGTGGAGAAAAGCCTCTGCACGCAGACCGGTTCAGCTCTGATATTCAACGCTCTAGCATTTCACAAGCCATCACTGTCTAGAACACGTGGTAGCACCGGACAGTGACTAATCCAAAAATCAGACCACTGCCCGTTCAGAATTAAACCAAACCCCATCTGCCTGTGCTGTGACTGAGCTAAATTTCAATCGAGAATTCACAGAGTAAAACTTAGGAAACTCTGCTGTTGAATTCCTCTGAGGTTCATTTACCTGCAACAGTGTCTACCATCAGGTCTAACTACCCACAGTCCACAGGACCTGCAGTGCAAGAGAGATCTCATACCTGTTTCGCTGTACCTCTGCTCCTCAGGATGACCACTTCTTGGTCAATACTCTCAATTTCCTCAAGGCTGGTGTTGATCCATTTCTGGATTTGTAGTATGTAAAATTCCCGTATCTGATCCTCATCTGCTTGCCCGCTCTCCACAAAGGTTCTCATAGAGGCCAACCTGTTCTCCAGCTCCTTCTTCTGCTTGTATCTGTCTCAAAGAAGAACAAAATGAGGTCACTTAAGTAACCTTTCTCTAACACAGCCCAGATAGAGTGTTTTCTGAAATAAACAATTTCCTATCTCTTGAAATTCAATCAAATGTAGTTAGAGAGCTACCTCCTGTCCCAATGCTCTTTTAACTGCTTTTCACGGAGGTGACCGTTGCTGACCAGTGCTCATTACGGTACGCAAGTCCCAGACGTTCATAAAGCTCCTCACGTCTTTGACAAATTTCCTCGTGTGAGGAGGACCCACTCATTTAACAACCGAGTAAGGGTCCTGTAGAAGCAAAGCAGTGACTTACAGGAATGTACCCGTGAAGAAGTGGAGGAGCACTGGCAGCACCAGATCGTATGGGTTGTCATTTACTGATGACCTCCAACGATGCGTAAGCAAGAGGCAAAACGCCAAGCAGGGGGATCCACCTCCCCCCCTCATCTGACTGACAACAGAAGGTTTTTGACAAACAAAAACTACAGAGGAGTTCCAATCTGCTTAAAAAAGGCTCTGAAAATGCAGTTATATACCTACATGCAGCATCAAAATCTTTTCCTCCCATCTTCCCCATCGCTTCCATCTGTCAACTCAAATTTAGACATTAAGTAGGATCTTTACTACTCTTTTAAGGGGTTTAACGTGATTTCATGTATTTAAAAAGAAAATTGTATACAAAAAGGGAGGTTGTGATGGTTTACTGTTGTATTTTAAGTATCTCCTGTCTGTTAAAAGCAGCTTTAAGAAGACAGCTTAAATTTAGAGGCATGCCTCTCAATTTTTTTTTTCTTCTCCTAAAAGTCAAGCAATCCTTGAAAATTAAGCCTGCCAGGTAAAATTAGGCAAGCCCGGCAACATTAATCTCCTGGAGAAAACAGGACTTTAACTCATCGGCTCCCTCACTGAGAAAACCAATGTAATAGCTATTTTGAGTTGCTTCTATATGACATAAAGATATCAAGAAGCCGCTTATAAGGCAGATTAAAACACTCTTCCAATTTGTCTCAGGTGTTTTGTGTGTGTGTGTGTTGTTCTTGAATATAATTTTGGCTTTCTGGATTTTTTGACCTTTTTGGGAATTAGCTACTAAAGGGGGGAACTACCCATATAATACACTTCCAGGCTAAATCCTTGCGTCCCGCTTCCTTCAGTTACAGTGCCACCTGAAGAACGAACGGTAAGAATCGAGGATTAGAAACCTACGGGAGCTGAAAGGACAAGGAGCATACAGGAGCCGTTCTAAAAAACCAAACCCATCCACAAGTGCTCCACAGACAACGCCCAAAACCACCTCTTAACCGGCTGAGCTCCTGACTGCCCAGCCATCCTGCAGGGAAGCAAAGCAAACCACTCCATTCCCGCTTGTCTTTACACTCCACAGCGGGATAGGCTCTCTTCGGTTGGCCGCTGCAACCCCAGCCTGCTCCCTGGGACGCTGCAGTGCGTGCTCATTCAGAGAGCAAGGCTAAAGGCAGCTAGGACGAGCCAGGTCCGGAGCTGGTGTGGTGATACAGGCCTTCTCAGGAAAATTTTGTTCATGCAGTCTATGCATTTTACTGAAAGCGAATATAATTGCAACGCCTCACCCTGATCAAGGACTAACCTGCTTGTGGCAGAACCCACAATGCTCCGTTTGCTTCCTTCAAGCGGAAGGAGCCGCGGTACAGGCAAACACAAGCCCCAGGCGAGAAGGGAGTTCACGAGGAACCAAAGCCCCACCTGCAAAACTCACTGGCACTCGGGAGGTGATGCGCAGCTCTGAGACTGCTGACAAGCAGCCCGTGCTGAAAAGGCTTTGCTGCGCTGATCTCAAAGGCCCCGATGTGTTCTAATATCCCAAACCCACCTCAGTTAGGTCACCCTCTAGAATATAAATCGTATTTTTGTATTCATGCGATTTATTCCCAACTAAAGCATGACAAAGAGGCATCAACCACCTCTTTTTTAAAGATCTAATAAGCACACTGGTAGGTAACTTCCAACGTGGGTGGCTTTACACCGTTAGCAGTGATTAAAGAACTAATCATGACAGCTTTTCTGGAGTTGTTCTTCAAAGACCAGAAACTAAGACACAAATGCACCTCCCCAGCCTGTGCACAATCCAACACCGTTAAGTAATATGTGGTGCATATCTTAAAATGAATGTTTCATGATCAAAGTATTCCAGTATCAAGGGAAGCAGTTCTCTCCTGATAGTCCTTGTCTGTACAATCTTGCACTGCCGGAGGCTCTCCCCTTCTCTTAAACTGATTCCCAAAAGCCTCTAAAGGCCGCAAAGCAAGAGCCTACCTTTCAATTTTGGCTTGCCTGCTGGACGCCATGGCCACCAGGCTGGGCTGGGCAGCAGCGGGGCCCCCCGGCGTCGGGCTCCCGGCATCTTCCT